ATGGTGTTTCCATTGGCTGCATTTTGGTGCAGATCACCAGGCCTTTCTTCCTAGTCTGTCTTAGTCTGGAAGCTCTGCTTAAACCTAACCACCATGAGTGACCCTTCTGGTATTTAAAATACTGGTGGCCTAGCTTCCAGCATCATGATAACATACAAGTCACCACAGTACAACAAACAGACAGGTGAGTGGTAGATAACAGAGAAGTGTACGTTTCTTGTCACAGTCAGCCCCGGAAGTATTTTATAAGTTATTTAAATAGCACAAATGCACAGGCACTGCATCAGGAGAACAAGGAAATATTTTTGGACTTGATGGATCTATTTGCTTTAGTAATATTCATACAGGTGTTTCATATTTGAAGAGCAACGCATACACATCTTACGGTTTTGTTTCTGGGCACTTGAACCTCGACAATCCTGTGGTGCAAATAGCCGACAGCAGAATCTGTCAAGAGAAAGTGACAGCGGACTAAATAATGGGGAAGGTAAATGAATAGTAAATCACAATTAAATTCAACAGTAGCAGTAATCGCAAAGCAGACCATCTTGAGTCTGGGCTCACTGCACACTGATTATAAAACACTTATTCGTGTTCGCTAGAGAACAAATTGAGGATTCCCGATGTGTTCAGGCTGCTATCAAGAGCTGGGTTGGTTGTCATGAACTCAATTATGTGAGGTTAAGATCATCTAATTTTATTAATGGAATCAGCGGTGGTTCAATGGTAGAATTCTCGCCTTCCATGCAAGAAACCAGGTTTGATTTCTGGCCAATAGACCTCATGGGCAGCTACCACCTGTTAGTCAGTGAAGGCTTGCATGTGGCTGCAATGCTAAACAAGTTTCAGTGGAGCTTCCAGACTGAAATGGACTAAGAAGAAAGGCCTGGCAATCTACTTCCGAAACTCAGCCAATGAAAACCCTATGGATCACAATGGTCCAAGCTGCAACCAATCCCCGGGATGGTGCGGGACCAGACAGCATTTTGTTTGGCTGTGCACGGGGTCACCATGAGTTGGGGGCTGACTTGACAACAGCTAACAACAGAAGCAAAAATTTTATGAACTCTTAATTCACCATGCCGGTTATTATTTTATCTTAAAATTAATTGCAGGAAAGTCGCCCAGAGGAAGTCCTTGGTTAATGGGCCAAAGAGGCCATTTGGAATTTTCCTGTGGGTTACCTTGGGTGCTCCACCCTGCCTGCCTCAAGGCATAATCATCGCAGAATGAGTTATGATGAAAATCAGTGCCTGGAACACGATCTGGGTTCATAAGCACAGTGGTTCTCAGAGTGCGGTCCTCACACCGGTGACATTGGCCTCAGCTGTGAGCTTGCTAGAATTGCAAATTCATGTCCCCTTTCCCTCCAACTGCATCGGAATCTCTAGGGACGGGGGCACAAGGTCTCCAATGATTCTTAAACCTGTTAAAGCTTGAGAACCACTATAGGATGTGCAGAACATGGCGGCAAGATTGGAGACAAGGCTCTGAGCCCTAAACAGATGAGTCAGCTTTTTCTATCAACTCCAGAAGCTGAACTTCTTCACCCGGCTGACTTCCTTCAGCATAGGTGTATACAAGTGGGTGTATCAGGCCGTGACTCCATCTTTCCAGCCTGGGTTTTCTTGTGTATGAACTGAGGGGGTTGGAGAGTCATGTTTAAATGCTGTCCCCTTCTCCTGCCCTCCTTTCTCCGCTACCTCCCAACCTTTCTTCCAAGGAAAGCTCTCAGGAGCTCCTGAGCCAGGATTTGCACTCTGCATAGCAACCACTCAGATGTGAGTTTGGGGGTTGCTGTCCTTCCTTGGCCTTTGAGTTGCCTGACAGAGGAGCTTTCTATGGGGAAGCACTGTCTTCCAAACCTCAGCGCAATTTTTGCCTTACATTCTTTGACCAACAATTTTGTGTCTGTTTTGGAGAGAAAGAAAATTGGTGACCTTCATCAATTTCCTTTAATCTGAGCCCACTGTTTCTGCCCTCACACCAAAAAGTCTTTGCTGACGCTGTCCAGTAGAACTTTCGGCAGTGATGAGAATGTTCTACATCTGCACTGTCTAATATAGTCTCTCCTGGCCACATGTGAAGGATGAGCACTGGAATTTACATAACTTTATTTTCATTTCATTGAACGTCAATTGATTTATCTCTAAATAGCCACAGGAGGCTAGTGGCTGTTTGTATGGGCCATTGTGGGTATACACCATCCATTCACTTAAACAGCCTTGGGTAAGACAATTTATTCTTTTTTGTGGGTGGGGGGTGGGGTGGGATTTAGTCTCCTCTGCCTTGAATACCTCTGAAACAGTGATGATAATTTTGTCGATATTATTATTAACTTGTTTATGCTTATAATTACCGATATGAGGTACTTCCCCTGTTAACCAATATTTTTTCAGTCAGTAATCATTTGAGTATTTTTGGACGCTTTTTAGTGTACCACACTGGTTTTTTTAAGAGCTTAACTTCACTTCAGAAACCCTGGTGGCGTAGTGGTTAAGAGCTATGGCTGCTAAATGAAAGGTCAGCAGTTGGAATCCACCGGGCACTCCTTGGAAACTTGACGGGGCAGTTCTACTCTGTCCTATAGCGTCGCTATGAGTCGGAATCAACTAGACAACAACGGGTAAACTTCATTCCATATCATGGCTTCCTGCCTTTGATCCCCCCAAAACACAAAGTTTAATACTATGGAAAAAAGTAAGACCTGCCAGGATGTGTTTTAAAACTTAGAAGCCAGATTTTTAAGTGCATAAGATGTTAGTATTTCTTCACGTTGTATGCTACGAATAGAGTGCATGAAATTTGAGAGCGTGACTTCTAAAAAACTCTGCAGCTGAGTTTTATCCCCTCTTTCTTCCTCCAGAAGCCAAGAAAGCGCTCAGTATCACCTTCACGGTGGTGGCTGTCCTTTCCGGCGTGGTGCTGGCCGCTGTCCTGCTCTGGAAGTTTTGTGAGTGCAGGGGGAGCTGGACCCTGAGTGCGGGGGGGAGCTGGTCTCACAGTCATGTCCTCATGGGCTCCCAGTCTTCTGAACATCCAAATGACCCTGCTCAGAGAGCTGAGGAGACCTGCTTCCACAGCCCTTCTGGAAGTTTCTCTCTTACAAAGCAAGGCTGTCTTCTCACCCTTCTCTTTATTTAGTTGTGGTGCTGTGTAAATGACCAGTCTGGGAAGCAGCCAATCTTGTATCTGGGTGGTTCACTTGCGTGCTTCTCCATAGACTGTGGGTTGTCAGGAGAAGGGTTTAGCATTCCTCTAGTGCTGAGGACTCCCTGCGTGGTGCCAATGGTTAAGTTATTTGGCTGCTAACTAAATGATTGGATGTTCAATTCCACCCAGAGGCACCCTGGAAGAAAGGCCTGGCAATCTGCTTCTGGAAGGTCACAGCCTTGAAAACCCTATGAAGGGCAGTTCTACTCTGCACACATGGGGTCGCCATGAGTTGGAATCAACTGGATGGCAACTGGTTTGGTTTCATTTTAGAGGGAAACTAGGTGCCACCCTGCACTCCTGAGCACAGTGGACTTGGGGCCACACGTGGTAACCTGTACCTCACTGTAAAGCCACAGCTACTGTGGGCTGGGGTGTGTCCCTCCCCTGCACCCTCATGTCCTGCTAGAATAGCCACCTCTGTACCTACAGCCCAGACCTTTCCATCAGCCCAGGGCAGTTCAGATTCAGGTCCAAAGGCTAAGGGGTTCCTTCCCCCGTGGAAGGAATGCAACCGAGGGTTTCCCTGGTACCACCAACTTCCAGCCCTAACTCCTCTTAGGTGTGTTGACATCAGGGACACGTCTGCTCCCTGATAAAAAAAAAGAGAAAAGGATATCCCTTGTTGTTACCAGGCGCTTGGAAAATGTATGGCATCCTTCCTTGGGGGGCGCTGTGGGGCTGTCTTTATCCCCTCTTGTA